CTTCCTTCCGAGGAGTGGCTGGTGGGTTTGAACCGCCAGCCGTCTGGTTAGCAGGCAAGTGTCTTAGCCACTATGCTACCAGAGCTCCCTTGGTTTTAAATAGAGGTATTCAAACCATTTACATTTGTTGTAATTAATATAGTTGGGCTGTTTTCTGTACTAGCTGATCCATCTGCCAGCAATGAATACTCTTTACCCTCATTTTGTCTGACTGGCTTCTTTCATCATTTAGATTCACCAGATTTCACCTCTTCAGAATGATTTACCATAACAACCTAATCTCATGTAGCCACTCCATCACTTTCTGTGTTATCACTCTTTTAATTCTTTAACATAGCATTTATCCTTGTCAAAATTTTAGTATGAGAAGTTGGACCTTGTCTGTCTTGTTCAAATTTGTGTGTGCTTGTTTCTTAGAACACTGCCTAGTATATAAAAGATTCTCAAAAATATTTTTTAAATGAATAACATCCTTTCATTTTTTTTATTCTTTACTATATGTTACATAGTAATTATTATACAGAGATACAGTGATATTTGTTATATTTCTTTTATTTTTCCCCTTTTCTCTTACTACATTTACTAGGTGGATTTTTTTCCTCTACATTCTCCCTACTCCCAGCATCAGTAGGCAATTTAGAAATTTTACTCCTTCACTCTCTTTTTTATTAGTTAACTTTATATTTTAACAATAATGTTTAAACCTGTGCTGCAAGCCAGCATACTAAAAGGTATGCCCCTTCTACTTTTTTACTTCTTAATTTTAGCCTAGTTCCTCTTCCTCCATTCCACTTCCTTCCTCACCAAGATAAGAATGTGATTATGCTTTTACTTCCTCATTTTACTCTCCTATTTCCAGCTTCTAGGCTTTATTAGAAAAAATTAAATTCTTTTAAAGTTGTTTTTATGTTATCCTTTTTTTTTTTTTAGCTCTAAGTTATAGTTCACGATCATGTTATCATCATCCATTTAGATTTGACCACACATTTTTTTAGTTTCATTGATAGTATGAATCTCTGTCTTAAGATTTTTGCTGTGATCTAGTTTTCTTTCCGGCTGGTGTAATTCCTTGAGTAATTTCCACAGAAAAGGGACCGGGATGATGTATACATTTCCTACTGCTGCTTTAACAAATTACCAGAAACTTATTGACTTAACACAAATTATTATCTTTCAAGTCTGGTGGTCAGGAGTCCAAAATGGATCTTAATGGACTATGGCATCTTTCTTCTGGAGCTCTCAGGAGTAGTCTGTTTCCTTGTTTATTCTAGCTGCTAGGGGCCACCTACATTCCATAGGTCATGTTCTCTCCTCCATCTTCAAAGCCAAAAGTATAACATTGTCCTGCCTTCCTATTATAAGGATCTTGTGATTATATTGGGCACACCTGGATAATCTATAATGTTCTTTCCATTTCTAGATTCTTAAGCACATCTTCAGTGTCCCTTTTTCCGTGCAAGGTATGATTCACAGATGTTAGGGACTAGGAAGTAGACATCTTTAGGGGCTCATTTTTCTGCCTACAACAGGTGGTAAATGAGTTCTTATGTGTCTGAGAAGGTCTGTTTTTTGCTCTTAGTTAGACTCCTTTTGGGACTTTGTATCTCCTTTTGGTGAGAAAATGAGAATACCTTCATTTTAAAGAGAATAGTTGCATTTTATAAGACAATTTGTGTTAGTTTGAGTTCTCTAGAGAAACAAAACCAGTAAAGCTTATACAGAGAAAGAGAAATTTATCTTAGGAAAATGGCTTACACTCCTGTAGAAGTTGGCAAGTCCCAAGTTCTTGGATCAAACGTCAAGCTAGAGACTTTTCCCGACTCACGTACCTGCAGGGGCTGATGAGCTCAAGGTTGGCAGGCAGTATACCGGCTGTTGACTCCAGCAAATGATGAATCCCAAGATCTCCAGGCCAAATAGTGGATTGTTTGTTCACGAATAGTTGTAGGCAACACAACAGGATCCCAATCCACAGAAGAGTGTCTCTTTTCCTAGGATGTTCATAAATAAATTGGAAGCAGGCCACACCCCTAGGGAAACTCCCTTTCAATGGATTGGCTACTCAAAACATATTCATCTGATCTCACCATGGGAATAACCCACATCACAACTGCTTAAACCACTCAGAATTGTGGTCCAGCCAAGTTGACACACAGCTCCAACTATCATAGAATTCTAAAGTTGTTTATGCTTGGAAGTTCACATGTGTAGAGGGCTGTTTGTGAACTGAGAAGCTAAAAGGTGGACTCTGCCAATGACTAAGCTCTTGTCCTTCAGTTCCAAACCTACCCTTCAGTATTTTTCTCTGGTGTTGGAGTTGGGCTCTGCAAACTATATTTCTCCTTTGCCCTGTTGGGTTCTGCTAATGGAGACTGGAAGGCAGGAGGAAGAAGAAGGGACTGGCTTCTTCCTGACTGCCTGCAGTTCTTACCCCCACAGCAAGCTTCAATGACCTTTCTGTTGTTGAGTCAATTATGTTTTTGTTGTGTGCTGTCGAGTCGGCCCTGACTCATAGCGACCCCTCCTTGGGTTGCCAAGGCAGTATCACTACGGAAGTAGATTGCCCAACCTTCCGTCTGAGGAGTGGCTGGTGGGTAGGACTGTGAAATTATAAACCTTTTTTTGGGAAATCTGTGAATGTTGTTCTATATCTTCTAACTTCCAATGAAGCGTAAGTAATCATTCTTCCCTTTGTCTATAAGCTTGGAATTAAGAAATTTCATCTTCATGGGACTCGTTTCATTACTCCTTCTATACAATTTATAAGCCCTCTGAGTCTGGAAACTCAAGTCTTTTTCTTCTTTTAACAGAGAAATCTTTTGGAAGATGATTCAGATGAAGAAGAGGACTTTTTTCTGTAAGTTTTAAAATATGTATATAGCTTTATTGAGGTATAACTGATATAGAATAAAATATATATATTTAAAGTATATAAAATGACTTTTGACATATGTCTACATTCTTGAAATCATCATCAAAATCAAGATAATGAACATAACTTATTGCAAAATTTTCCTCATAACCCTTAGTAATCTATCACTCTCCTAGTCCCCAGGCAACCACTCATCTGCATTCTGTCACTATGGATTAGTTTGTATTTTCCAGAATTTTACATAAATGGAATTATAAAGTATATCCTTTTTTTACTGGGTTCATTTACTCAACATAATTATTTTCTGATTTATCCATGCTGTTGCATGTATTAATATATTGTTTCTTTATATTGTTGAGTAATATTCCATTCTTTCTTTCCTGTCTTTTTAATGACCTTTTGCTTTCTTCATGTATAATATCCTTGATGTCATCCCACAACTCATCTAGTCTGTGGTTATTAGTGTTCAGCGCATCAAATCTATTCTTGAGATGGTCTCTAAGTTCCTCACTTATCAGTTAATCTCATTATCAGACATTTTGCATTTAGGACAATTTTGAAAAAAATCTCAGGCAGTGCCTCCAGTGGTCTGGGCCCCAAGCAGGGCCATGACCAGGCCTAGGGTGCCCTCTGCAGTCTACATTGAATGATATACCAGAGTCCTTCGTGACACGGGGCCACATGAGGGATAGTGGATGAGTGGCTGTGGGGTGCCTTTTCCCATTCATCCATGACATCTCAGTCTGTCCATGAAGGGCATAGGATGCTGGTGATATGGGGATGACACCCTGATGTAGGCAGGCAGGAGGAGGCCAGTTGACAGCCCAAAAGTGCTAGGGAGGTTGGTGAGGGGAGGCAGGAGGTGAGAGAGAGGAAAGGGACCACTGTGCAGAGCGGCAGGGCTGGGACAGATAGGAGATAAGTGGGATCACCACCTTGGGTGAGTGGCAGGAGATAGAGCACAGAAGACAAGAAGGGTTCCTGCCCAATGACAGGTGGTAGGAGATGGCTGGTGAAGGATGAGTGGAGTCCCTGCCCAGGATAAGTGGCAGGAGGTGATGGACGACATCTGACCACCGCTATCCTCAATCCCTTTGGGCTCTGCAGTGATGGGGATAGCATGGTGGGGAAGAGGGGGCACCGTGCCACATGCATCCCAAGACATGCCTAAGGCACCCAGCAGGTGGTGAGCTGGTATTAAAGATGGGACATGGCCCCTGAATCTCACATAATGCCAATTTTATATAACATCCTGCTCTTTGGAACCTAACCATGTTGGTAAGTTGAGGAGTGGATACACTTAAAGTGGTATTTTGACTATTGTGGACTTTCAGAAAATTTTTTTAGCTTCAACTTGAACTTGCATGTGAGCAAAAATACAGGAAAGAAAGAAAATACTAAAGTATTTTGTCAGAAACTCTGACACTTTCCCTTGAATGTAGAGTTGCTAAAGCTAATGGAAGAAATGATAAAGCAAAAGAGCTGAACAAAAGTTTTCAAAGGGCAGTTTCAGAAGACAAAGTAAAGTATTACAACGAAATGTGCAAAGACCTTGTGTTAGAAAACCATTTTATGTTTTTCTCAAGCCGAAAGAACTGAAGAAAAAATTCAAGCTCAAGTTGCAATACTGAAGGATTCTATGGTCAAAATGTTGAAAGATGCAGGAAGCTACAAAAGAAAATGAAAGGAGTACACAATGTCATTTTACCAAAAAGAATTGGCTGATGTTCAGCCATTTCAGGAGGTAGCATATGAGCAAGATCCAATGATACTGAAGAAAGAAGCCCACGCTACACTGAAGACATTATTGAAAAACAAGGTTCCAGGAATTGACGAAATACCGATTGAGAAGTTTCAACAAACAGAAGTGACACTGGATGCACTCACTTCTGTCTATCAAGATATTTGGAAGAAAGCAACCTGGCCAACTGACTGGAAGAGACCTATATTTGTGCCCAGTCCAAAGAAAGGTGATCCAACTCAATGCAGATATTATCAACGATATCATTAAAATCACACACAAGTAAAATTTTACGAAAGATAATTCAAAAATGGTTGCAGCAGTACATTAATTGGGAACTGCCAGAAATTCAAGCTGGATTCAGAAGGGGACATGGAATGAGGGATATCATTGCTGATATCAGATGGATCTTGACTGAAAGTAGGTAATACAAGAAAGATGTTTACCTGTGTTTTTTTGACTGTGCAAAGGCATTGATTGTGTGGATCATAACAAATTATGGATAACATTGCTGGGAATTCCAGAACACTTAATTGTGCTCATGGGGAACCTGTACATAGACCAAGAGGTTCTCATGTGAATAGAACAAGGCGATACTGCATGATTTAAAATCAGGAAAGGTGTGTCAGGATTGGATCCTTTCACCATACTTACTCAATCTGTATGCTCAACACATAACCCAAGAAGCTAGACTGTATGAAGAAGAATGTAGCATCAGGGTTGGAAGAAGGGTCATTAACAAACTGTGACATGCAGATAACACATCTTTGCTTACTGAAAGCAAAGAGGACGTGATATACTTCCTGATGGAGATCAATGACTATTTTAGCCTTCAGTATAGGTTACACTTCAACATGAAACAGAAATCCTGACAATTGGTCCAATAAGCAACATCATGATACATGGAGAAAAGATCAAAGTTGCCAAGGATTTTATTTTACTTGGATCCACAATCAACACCCATGAAAACAGCAGGCAAGAAATCAAATGATGTATTGCATTGGACAGATCTGCCGCAAAAGACCTTTTTAAAATGTTGGCAAGCAAAGATGTTATTTTGAGGAATAAAGTGCCCCTGGGTCAAGCTATGGTATTTTTAGTAGCCTTATATGCATGCAAAAGCTGAACAATAAATAAGGAAGACCAAAGAAGAATTGATGCCTTTGAATTATCATTTTGATGAAGAATATTGAATCTACCCTGAACTGCCAAAAAACAAATCTGTCCTGGAAGAAGTACAGCCAGAATGTTCCTTTTAAGTGAGGATGGTGAGACTTCGGTCATGTTATCAGAAGGGACCAGTCCCTGGAGAAGGGCATGATGGTTGGTAAAGTAGAGGGTCAGCCAAAAGGAGGAAGACTCTCAATGAGACAGATTTACATAGCGTCTGTATCACTGGGCCCACACATATCAATGATTATGAAGATGGTGTAGGACTGGGCTGTGTTTTGTTCTGTAGTATGTAGGGTCACTATGAGTCAGAACCAACTGGATGGCACCTGAGAACAACAACATTCCATTGTGTGAATATACTGCAATTTGTTTATATTTTCACCTGTTGATGAATATTTGAGTTATTTCTAGCTTTTGGCTATTATAAATAATGCTGCTGTAAACATTGGTATTCAGGTTTTTATGTGGACATACACTTTCCTTTCTCCTTTGTAAATACCTAGGAGTTGAATAGTTGGTGTATGTTTGCAACTTTTTAAGAAATTGTCTAACTTTTTTAAATGGTTGTACTATTTTATATTCCTACCAATGGTATATGAGAGTTCCAGTTGCCTTAAATCCTCACCCATACTTTGTATGGTCAGTCTTTTTATTTTTAGCCATACTAAAGGGTATTTGGGAGCTCTGGTAGCATAGTGCCTAAGGCACTTGACTGCTAACCAGAAGGCTAGTGGTTCAAATCCACCAGCCACTTCTCAGAGGGAAGATGGGGCAATCTACTTCCGTAGTGATAGTGCCTCGGAAACTGAAGGAGTGGTTGCTGTGAGTCAGGTGTGACTCAACGGCACATAACAACAACAACAATGGGTATTTGGTGATATCTCCTGATGCTTCTAATTTGCACTTCCTTATGACAAATGATATTAAATATCTTTTTGTGATCTTATTGTTCACAGTCTTCTTTGGTGAGGTATCTGTTCAAATACTTTGCCCATTTTAAAGTTGATTACTTGTCTTCTTATTAAGTCATAAGAGTATATATTCCATATACACATTCCTTGTTGGATATATGTTTTGCAAGTATTTTCTCCTAATCTGTAATTTATTTTAGGAGTCCTCATGGCACAGTAGTTAAGGCATTCAACTACTAACCACATTTTCATCATTTGAACCCATGAGCCACTCTGAGGAGGAAAGACATAGTGGTCTGTTTCTGTAAAGATTTACAGCTTTGGAAACTCTATGGGGTACTTCTGCTCTGTCCTAGAGTTGCTATGAGTTGGAATCAACTCAGTGGCAGTTGATTTGATTATAACTTATTTTTCATTTTTATAACAGCATCTTGTGTGGAGCAAAATTTTTTATTTCGATGAAATCAATTTATTGAAAATTGTCTTAAATTGTTTTGGCTTTTTTGTGTCATATTTAAGAAGTCTTTGAGAAACCCAAGGTCACTAAGATACTCACTGTGTTTTCTTTCAAGAGTTTTATCCCTTACATTTAGGTCTGTAATTCGTTTCAAATTAATCTTTGTTTATGATGTGAGATAAGGGTGAGGATTCATTATTTTTGGCATATTGACTAGCCAGTTGTTCAGTACCATTTGATGAAAAGATTACCCTTTGCCATGGAATTGTCTTGGAAATTTTGTAAAAAGTAACTGACCATATATATGAGAGTCTATTTTTGGACTCTTACTTTCTTCCATTGATGTCTATCTTACATCAATACCATACTCTTTATTATTATGACTTTATAATAAGTTGCAATGTAGTTTATGTCTTTCAACTTTGTAATTCCCTCTCCAAGTTCTTTTGAGTATTAGAGTTTCTATGCATTTTCATATAAATTTTAGAGTCATCATGGTAATTTCTTTAAAGAAAGCGTTTGGAATTTTTATTGAGATTGCATTCAATCTGTAAATGAATTAGGGAAAATTGATAAAACAATCCTGAGTTTTCTGAACCATGAACATAGTATATCTAATTATTTACTCACTGCCATCGAGTTAGATCTGACTCATATCAAACCCTCCTCGGGTTTCCAAGGCGGTAATACTACGGAAGTAGATTGCCCAATCTTCCTTTCGAGGAGTGACTGGTGGGTTTCAACTACCAGCCTTCTTGTTAGCAGTCAAATGCCTTAGGCACTGCACCACCAGATCTCCTATTTATTTAGTTCTTCTTTAATTTCTTTTATCATTGTTGTAGTTTTCCGTATCTAAATCTTGTATTTTTTTGTCAAGTTTATCCTTAAGTATTTCATAACTTTCTTATACTACTATAAGTAGCAGTTAAAAATTTTAATTTCCTATTAGTCATTGCTAATATATAGAAATATAATTGACTTTTTATAAACTGACCTTGTTGTAATCTGCAGCCTTGCTAAATTCACTTAGTAGTTTTGGTACCTTTTTTTATAGATTTCATTAGAATTTCTACATACATGATTATGTCATTGGTAAATAAAGGCACTTTTACTTCCTCCTAGCCAGTCTATATGCCTTTTATTTATTTATTTATTTTCTGTTAGCTTATTATTCTGGGTAGAACCTCCAGTACAATATTGAATAATTGTGGTAAGGGAGGATGTTTTTTCATTGTACCTCATCTTAGGAGAAACTATTCTGTCTTTTACCATTAAGTTTGGTGTTAATTGTAGATTATTTGTAATTGCTTTTTATCAGGTTGAGGAAGTTCCCAGTTTGCTAAGAATTTTTATCATCAATTGATGTAGGATTTTGTCAAATGTTTTTTCCTTGTCTATTGAAGTGATCATATGGCTTTTCTTTTTTAGGTCTGTTAAAGCACTAGTTTATCTTGATTGACTTTGGAATTTTAAACAAACCTTGCATTTTTGGTATAATCCCTACTTGGTCATCATGTAGAATCCTTTTAAACATTGTTGGAATAAATTTGCTAAAATTTTGTTAAGAATTTTTGCATCTACATTTGTGGGAGAGATACTGGTTAGTTGAAAGTTATGTCTTTTTTATGTTTTTGTTTATTTTTATTTAACTTAATGCTAGCTCTGTAGAATGAGTTGGGAAATGCTCTCTATTGTTCAGTTTTCTGGAAAAGTTGATATAGAATTGGTATTACTTCTTCCTTAAAAATTTGATAGAAATTAATATTACATCCACCCAGTCCTGGAATATTCTTTATGAGACTTTTTTTTTTTTTTTTTTTTAATACTTTTAATTTAAAATGATGTTAGACTTCTGGAAGAGATGCATAGATAATATGGAGAATTCCCATTTTTCTTTCCCCTGGCTTCTCTTAATTAATCTTATTTATCTGTAGGGATTTCCCCATCCCATTTCTATTAGTAATTTGTCTTTTCTCTTTTTACCTGATCAATCTGACTGGAAGTTTATCAATTTTTACTTTTCAAAGAATCAGCTCTTTTTTCCCCCCCAATGAAAATTTAAGGTCTCTTGTTACTTAATAGATGAAATAAACATAGCTGCTTCTTTTTATTCAAACCTATACTTGGGTTAATTTTAATCTAATAGTTTTCAGATTATCTGTTTATCATTTCCTCATTTAATGGTTGCTTTTAGTTCCTTTTTAGTTGACCAGTTCTTTCATGCTCTTGCCTAATACTAAGTGATGGTCTCTGGTTCAGAATTTTAGTATTATATGAATTTCAGTGTTTAACTTTAATTTTGAGTAGGTCATTGGTCCAGTGAGAAGTTAGAGCTTTAAAGACTTTAAGAAATAAACTTAAACTAAGGCAAAGATAATATATTCCTGTTTCTAAATTATGTTAAGTAAGTGTCTATAGGCAATTTTATTTTTTTTCTCCAAAACTGTGTGTTTTCTCAATAGCTCTTTTCTTCAACTCTTTTAAAAATTACTATATGCCTAGAAATTTAAGAAAGTATTTTCTTTTTAGTTTTGTGGTTTACACTTTATTCTGTATCTTCAGAGGAATGATAATTACTTAAAATACTCAAAATTTTTTGCATCCAAAATATTAAAATGAATAATAAAGGGAATAATTTGACAAATGTTGATATTTTCGTACACTCTTATATTTTCCCTTTGCTATGTTAAGTTTAAAATGAGTAGTCAAAGCAACATAATTAAAAATGTTTGGTGTTTCAAGTGAATGCTTTCCTCCACACATCTCTGCCAATCAGTGTAGTTAGTATCTGTACCCTAAATTTAAGGTGAATTGTACTCTCAGTTGTTCTACAATTAATAATAAGGTTGTTCATATTAATTGGCAGTTTAGTTGTTATATTTCAGCTTATTGATTAGAACAACCTGTATGTAATTAATGAGTATGTAAACCCTAACTTCTCTGACAGTTAATAACAATCAGAAGAATCAGGTTAATTATGGCCATCAGTAAGTACCACTGAAGTCAACAGATGATTGCACATCATTCAGTTCCTGCATAACCAGTAATGCTGTGGTTCCCTATCAGAAATGGCAGATCCGTGCTTAGAATTTGGCTTGATTGTGTATGTATGTGTGTATGTGTTTTCTGTTTGTTTTTTAAAATATCATCACTACTAATACTAACTCAGTATTTTATTGTAGAAGAGGACCATCGGGACCAAGATTTGGACCTAGAAATGATAAAATTAAGCAGTAAGTTTCTGAGAAACTCACTTATTTAAATGATTATTACATTCCTGTGTAACCAGGGATTATACTTTGTAAATAAAGTTTTATTGGAACACAGCCACACCCATTTGTTTATGTATTATCTGTGGTTGCTTTTGAGCCACAATGACAGAGTTAAGTAGTTGTGACAGAGTCCTTGTGGGCAACAAAACCCAAAATATCTACTGTCTTGTCCTTTTCAGAAAAAAAATTGCTGACCTGTGATGTAAAACTAAATGTAATTGCTGAATTATAAAAGCCCAATTCTTTTTATTCTTGCAAAACTACTAAGGAAATGCAATTTATGGTTGAAGGTTTTTATTATTTTTTTTTTAACTTGAGTACCTATGTCAAATCCATTTATTTAGCATAATCTATTTTGGTTTAAATGTACGGCTTCATTCCCATTTTTAGAGTGATAATAAAAGTATTGTGATAGATTTAATTTTTTAAACTATATTTTTATCTGCTTCCAGAATCTTTTTTTAATCTGTTACTTATCTTAATCTGTGTATTGATCTGAATTTTATGGCTAAATTTCAATTTAAAGCCTTTGCTGTCTATAAAGTAAAACCTGTGAAAGCTGGAACTTGTGTAAGTTGAAAGCGTGTCAGAGTAGGAAAATTCAAATATATTCCACTAATAAAGAGCAATAGAAAACTGGTAAGACTGCACCTCATCAAAGACAGAAAATTTGCAAGACTGGGAAAAACAGGGCAGTCCTGGTGAGTTCTGGCTCTCACAGGTTTCCCTGTCTTGTTGGTGTTAGATTATAGATAATATGCTATAGTGAATATATCTACTGTTTGTAGGCTATAAGTCTTGACAGGAAAGAAGAAAGAATGGACCAAGCAGTGAATTACATATTAGGTTGAGAGAAGGACCCTGGATTAATTATGGAGAGCAAACCAAATGGCTCAGGTTCAAGATCTTCACAGGGATAAGAGTCAGTGCCCTAATACTGGAAATAGTTGGTACTATAATGAGTTATTTAGTTATTGGTGAGATACTTGGGCTTTAGTTAAGTAGCTGTTGGTATGAAGAAGTATATCTATACTCAACCTTATCCTAGCTAATGGATTCCAAGATACAGAACCAAGGTGCCAACAAAACGATTAAATACTGGAGGTATATTGGTTTTCTATTGCTGCATAACAAATTACATGAATTTAGCACTTAAAACAACACACATTTATTATTGCACAGTTTCCATGGGTTAGGAGTTAAGGCATGACTTGGTTGGGCCCCCTCTGCAGGGTCTCACAAGCTACAATCCAGGTGTCGGCTAGGCTGTGATCTCATCTGAAGCTTGTGACCAAGCTCGTGGTGGTTGGCAGAATCCATTTTCTTGTGGCTGTGGAACTTGTGCTTTTTTCTACAAGGCCAGCAGGAGAGAATGTCTTTGTGCTCAGGGAATGCCTAAACCCTTTTTTAAAGGGCTTACCTGATTAGGTCAGGTCCACCCAGAGTAATCTTTTTGATTACTCAAAGTTAAACTGATTCCAACCCAACCCACTGCTTTCAAGTCGATTCAGATTCATAGCAACTCTAATTGGACAGAGTAGGAGTCTGGTAAGATGGCGGAATAGGCAGAAAGACTGCACAGACCCTCTTCAACAAAGAAAGGGGGAACCAATTAACACAGATACATAAGATAATCCTGGACTCCTGAGCCTTGAAGGGAAGGATATAGAAGTGGACTAAACTCCAACTAGCAGAAGAATTTGCATGAAAACACCAGAAAAGGAGACATATGGAGCTGCGTGATCCTGGCATCACAGACAGCTAGGATATTGCCAAGTGGTGGTAGGACCTAAGAAGTAACCTAAAAAATCAGCCCTGCTAGCCAGGGACTCATGGAGGACTGCTCTGGTGGCTGGTGAATAAAAGAGGAAACAGCGAAGAGGAAGGCAGGCTGAGCTGTGGATTTTTACCTGTCCAGAGGGTACAACCATTTTGAATGTTTGAAAGAGGTTTGACCATTTTGGATATTTAAAGCGATAGTATTCTCCCAGATTCCAGAGACTTAAGAACAAGCTCCACTTGCCGGGAACCACAAGGACATTCCAGACTCAGACGACTGGAAAGGTGTGACATTCACCCCTTGTTACTCTTATACCCCACACCCTCTTGGTGAACAGAGGTGCAGCCATCCCTCACTCCCACCCACCTTCTGGGCTGGCAGGAATTCCATCCCAGTCTGTGTGCTCGGATGGAGCCTGGGTACGCTACCCCACCCTGTCCTGATTTTTTTTTCTTCCTTTTTTCTGTTTTAGTTTGACTGTTTTTGCCTGTCTTAAAACTGTTATTATTATTATTACTTTTGTCCTTTTTACTACCATTCTTTATTCTTCCTCTCTCTCAGGTTCTGGTTTTCAGCTTTTTTTCTTTTCCCTGTTCCTGGTTGCAATTTTTTTTTTTCTTTCTTGTGCTTAACCCCATTCCTTCATTTTCTTTTTGTGTTTTTCCCATTTTATCCTTCATTATCCTCCTCTCTACTTTTATTCTCTTATTGCCCTATCCCCAGATACTGTGTTTTTTTCCCCCCTTTTTTTCTTTTTTCAGTTACTGTTCCTGTATGATTACACAGTGTGTGCTTTGTCCATTTGCTTTTACTTTTTTGATGGTTATTCAGTTGTTATTTTTGTCTGAGTGGAAGACAGCAACAGTCCCCATACAACACAACTACACCCATGCCTCCTGCCGCTTCACTTACTGAATAAGAGCCACCACTCCTTTCTCCACCAATGGGCCAACAATAAACAACCACCAAGAAGAGCCTGAATCAACCTTGGCTGCTCTTCACAAACAGTTAACAGAGATCTAAATACAACAACACCATGATGTCTCGGAGACAACAGACCATCATAGTCCACACAAAGAAGCAAGATAAAGTGGTAGAAACAAGGGAACAAAATACAGACCCAGAACATATCCCTGAGGAAGAAGCAGCATTGGAACTCTCTGATAAGGAATTCAGAAGAATTATATTTAGATATCTTCAGAGAATTGAGAAACAGAACAAGGAAAACACAGACAAAACCCTAGAAGAATTTTGGAATACAAAATGACAAAATAAATGAAAAATTAGAAATGATTTTAAATCTACAGATAGAAATCCAGAACACTAATACTAAATTGTCAGAATTAGATAACACATTGAAAGGGAAAAGGAGTAGAATTGATGCACTAGAAGACAGAATTAATGAGATTGAAGAAAAATACCTGAATACTTCTTTGGAAAGGGATCAATCAGAAAAAAGATCAAAACAAAATTAAGAAAGCCTAAGGTTCATGTGGGATACCATCAAAAGGAATAACCTATGTGACATTGGAATTCCAGCAGGAAGAGAAAAATGAAACCACTGAGAAAATTGTCCAAGAATTGTTGGAGGAGAACTTCCCTGATATGAAGAAAGATGAGAATGTATACATTCAGGAAGTCCAGTGAACTTCAAACAGGATAGACCCCAAAAGAAAATCACCAAGACATATCATCAAACTCATCAAAACCAATGACAAAGACAGAATCCTGAAAGCAGCATGGGAAAAACAAAAAGTTACTTACAAAGGACAGCCAGTAAGAATAAGCTCTGCTTTTTCAGCAGAAACCATGCAAGCAAGAAGGCAAGGGGATAGTATATATAAAACCCTGGAAGAGAAAGATTTTCAATGAAGAATTATATACCCAGCAAAATAGTCCCGCAAATATGGTGGTGAAATTAGGAGATTTCCAGATAAGCAGAAGCTAAGGGAATTTGTTCCAACCAAACCAACCTTACAAGATATACTAAAGGAAGTCCTTTAACAGAGAACCAAAAACAGCAAACAACAACCGACCATTAATACACAAGATGACATAACTCAGAAACCACACCTATGGACATATCCAAAGTGAAATAAGCTTACAAGATTGTAAACAGAGAACCAGAGACATCAATTGGCAAGTGAGGACAACTACAAACCAAAAAGAGGGAAAAGACTGTGTAGTTACAGAACTTCTAAATGGTGTGGAAATAAAGAGAGTTGCAATATAGAATGGACTGTTCTAAACTTGGGAGAAAATTATAAATCACAGGGAAACCTCAAAGAAAAATGATAAACCTTCACATCACAGTAAACAAGAGGACAAGCACAAATATTCAGCAAATACTAAAACAACAGCAACAAAAGAAATGATAACATGATGCATAAACATAATGAACTCAACACAGAAAATAATATGTAACAAAGAAACCAGGGACACCATGAAAAAACACATAACAAAATGACAGCAACCAATTCATACTTATCAATGATTACACTGAATGTTAATGGATTAAATGCACCATTCAAGAGTCGGAGAGTTGAAGATTGAATAAGAAAACAAAACCCATCAATATGCTGTCTGCAAGAGACACACCTCAGAGACAAAGACAAAAATAGACTAAAAGTCAAAGGTTGGAAAAAGATATATCAAGCAAATGGCAACTGTAAAAGAGCAGGAGTGGCAATATTAATTTCTAATTACATTGACTTTAAGACAAAAACATACGAGACAAGGAAGGACATTATATAATGATTAAAGGATCAATTGAACAAGAAGATATAACCATAATAAATATCTATGGACCCAATGAAAGACCCCCAAAATACATAAATCAGACTTTAAAAGAGTTGAAAAGTCAAATGGATGATTCCAAAGTCATAGTGGGAGATTTTAATACACCACTTTCAATG